AGGCTGTATAATATAGCTGAGGATGGTAGCGGGCTGTATAATAAAGCTGAGGATGGTTAATCTGCACACTGCGTATGTGCACCCACAAATATCAGCATACAATCCCAGTGCGTGGTTGGCTTGAAAGAGGAGTGTCGTACATCACACAACATTTTGCTCTCACGCATATTCTCCTTCAACACATATACATACAGTGGGCCTCATGCATACACTCTTGTAGTTCCCGACGTCTAGCTTTGCGGAGAAAGATAACCATTTCCATCTGTTTCGCACAGAGTTTGCGTCAGGTCGTGCTAAGCTGCAGCAGTGGAGCGCACAGCGGTCTCGGGCGGAGCAGGAGCTGGTTGAAGCGACGTCTCGCGTCTCGGACCTCGGTGAGGCACTACAGGCGAAGGACTCGCAGCTTGCTGTGCTGCGCGTTCGGCTGCAGGAAGCAGATGCCGAGCTGCAGGGCAAGCGCAAACATTGCGACCAGCTGCAGACCGAGCGAGAGAGGTGGGTGAAGGTTACGTGTGGAAGGTCACATGTGGCAGGTCATACATGGAAGGTCGTGCATCGTGCATTGACTGACTAGTGAAGTACTTCATATATATCTGTTGCTGGTGAAGGAAATCAAGTAGCCAAGTTTTTGAAGCCAACTCCACATGAGGTGGTGGGTCTCCCCACCAGAGTAGGACAACATTCTACCAGATGACTTAACTGTGTGGTGGACCTATTCTGATCCAATAATATTGATATTCTGATATTCTAGACTGTTGGGGGGGGGGATCACATGGGAAAGTTGTGTGTAAGTTTGCTGCCTTTCTCTTGCATGAGATACGCACAGTAAAACACAAGATGAATTTGCGATTTATGATTATGTTATTTGCGATTAGTCAGGTCAGTATTGATACCATCTCGCTGTTATCCTTATGTGGCAGAATTCTGAGGGACCACACAGACTCTAGTGGTGCTCATGGGTATGCACTGGATTCATTAAGAGAGAAGCTGCAGGAGACAGAGGTAGCGTTAAAGCGAGAGCAAGAAGCCTACCATAAACTGCAGGTAGGTGTCAAATGCGCCATATCTACGTTGTAGTAGTACACCCTATATTACACCCTATCTACATTATATACCCTTTATTAAGCCTATTTACATCATACACCGTACATTAGTAATGTAGTGGTAATGATTACACACTTATCTATATTACACATTCTACATACTACTCCCTATCTGTATCACTCATCCCACGACAACCAATATTACACCCTATCGTACATTACGGGTACCTATTACACCGTATCACATCCCATCATCATGGGCACGCTAAGATAGCTTCACTCATTGATGTGTATCCTACAGGATGAGTCGATGGATAAACAGAACAGGATGCTGAGTGAGCAGCAGTACATGGCTTCTAATCTAGCAGAGGCTGAGAGGAAGCTATCTGAGGAGAAAGGTATGTGGGAGCAGCCATCCCAGCAGGGGAGCAGTTTGTGCATATTGCCTCCTAATACTCCACCATTAATAATATTTATATTTGTTATTGATATTGCTATTATTGTTGTTGTTGTTGTTGTCGTTATTATTATGGGTTTCTCATATGTAGAAGGCTAATACGTAATAGCCATGTCTGGAAAATGTCCATGTCATTTTAATGGTGCGTGCCTGTGTGAATGCGTGCGTGCGTGCGTGCGTGCGTGCGTGCGTGCGTGCGTGCGTGCGTGCGTGCACATGTGCATCTATACGCTTGGGTGTGTGTGTGTGTATGCGCAATATGGATGTCAACTTGTGTGGGTGACATTAATCTAAGAAGCGTATGAAGATGAGGAGGAAGATGACGAGATTTATATGTGATTGCTACAGCAAAGCAGGAGGAGTTCGGCAGGGAGCTAAAATCTGCTAAGAAACTGGCTGGCACAGCGAGACAAGATCTTGCAGATTACAAGCAGAAGGCGCAGCGTATTCTACAGGTAACTTAACATACACAATATAAACACACGCACACGTGCATGCGCACGTACACACTCACACGTACATACATATATCATATATGCATATACACATAAATATACAAAACTGTTTAAACATATAAGTATAGATACACATACGTCTATAAGTACTGTATGTTATTCTTTTTGTGTGGTGACCTGCTTGTTATTTTGCTTGTCAGATAGGTAAAACCTTTGGTTTCCTATTATTGCTATTTACAGGATGAAATGAGGGATTTGGTGACAGTTTTTGACAAGCCAAAACATTGGTGCCTTAACATCACTGCCACCTGGTGTTCACTGAGAAAGAACTTCTGAATTACATTAGCAAGATCAAAATTTACTAGTTGTCATATTCCCAACTGTATATACTCCTACCGTACAGTGTACTACTATAGGACTACTATTATTTATACAGTCTGCCTGATCCTGTGTATACATGGTATTGTCTAGAAACGATATTCTTGATATATTTTCCAAATTCGTCATGTATTTCCACTGTGTTTGCAGTCTAAAGAGAAGTTGATAGCTGGCCTTAAGGAGACCAGCAGTAGTGCAGATGGCGCCACTGCTGTCATCGCTGCCGCTGAGCTGGAGGAGACCCGGCAAGAACGGGATGGACTACGCGAGGAGGTGCAGAAACTAGGCATGACCATCGAGACACTGCGAGCAGACATGCAGGTGAGAGATTCTCCCGCTTCCGAAATCCCCGGCTCGTCCCCCATTATTTTTTATTCGGTCATCTTCCAATACCTCTCACTAGTCCCTTCCACTTCATTCTCTTAGCTTCCCATACCCCACCAAACTTCTTGTTTCCCCAATTTATTCTACTTGTATCTGTCATCTACTCCTTAATTTTGATAAGTTTGTCAAATGTTTTCGCTGCATTTTTCTGCTATTTTATATACCATAACAGCATAAATTCATGGTAATTTTTACACTGGTAACATGTAACATTCTCGCTATTAGGTGAGACTTTTTTGCTATATTTTACTCGATTGAGAAGTTATTTATGTAATATAATTACCTCTTAAGATTAGCTGTCAGTTGAAATGTTCATAGGATTTGCGTCTAGCATCAAATATTATTTTCTTTAAAAAAGTCTAACAGCTAATAAGCCACATTTATTCCTTATATTCTTATAAAAAATCCAAGTCTTCGATACTGATAGATGATGTTAATAGAGATACTCTACTTTAGAATTTGAGAGCTATTATGACAGCTGCGATTCATAAATCACTAGACATACTACTATAATCCTTACTTACGACTATCACTGTTTGTTCAGAAAACAAAATTGAATATCGAATGTTCACTTTATGGGCGCTCTGAACATGACACCGCGATCGTGCTGCCCACCCTCGAAAAAGATGCGCATACTCCGCCAATTATTTTGCACGTACAGACCAGAGGAGCTAATCCACAGAGTGACATGATATATTTATACTTACATGCTATTTAGCCGAACGATATTCATTTTATGACAAATTTATCCATATTATAACTGAAACTATGTCTTTTATAAAAATTCCAATCCTTTTGCACTTAAATTAATAAGTAAGAAACGCCCTCGGTCTGTAGCCCTTGGCAGAAAAGTCTATTTGCGCAACTTTTCAGATACTGCGCTTTGAGCGGCGCCAACGTCGTTGTAATCAAACTGTAGTCGTTTGTTTTAAAACATTTTTTTTAAATATTTCTAATAGTGATTGAACCATAAAACTTTTTAATGCAGCGTAATTTTAACCTAAATCAACTGAAAATAACCCTAGAACCTAGAGTCAAGTATTCCTTTAAGCACTGTGTCATTGTATCAACAATTGATCCTCTGTAAATACCATATATACTGATACACTTAAATTGAAATATCTTCTTTAGATAAGAAGACAAGTATTAGTAACTAGGTAATACTACTAGTAGTTAAAAATATAATTCAAGTTAATGCTATTGCTAAGGATCATTGATTATTTTTACTGTCATGATAGTCTCTGCAATGATTTTGTTCATAGTGGTAAGCAGTCTAGATAAATAGTACAACTACTGCTCCTGTAGCTGCCAGTTCTGTGACCATATGTTGTGGTGTGTTTTAGGAGCTTGAGGGACAGCTTCATCAGGATTCTGAGTGCAGTCAGGAGCAGCTGAGGCAGCTGGAGGAGGAACTGTGTGGGGAGAGGCGTGCGCGGCGGGAGGCTGACCAGGAGGTGGTGCGGGGTGGGGAGGAGCTGAGGTTTGCGCAGGAGGACCTGCGCAAGCACAAGCTGCTCATGCACTCACGCTTACAGGACCGCGATAAAGAGATAGAGAGACTCAGGAACCAGGTGAGGAGGAGGGTGAGGTGATTGTGAGCGAGCGGGCGAGGTGTGAGTGTGGGTGAGGTGAGAGAGTGGGTGAGGTGAGAGAGTGGGTGAGGTGAGAGAGTGGGTGAGGTGAGAGAGTGGGTCAGGTTAGAGGGTGAGGTGAGAGGGTGGGTGAGGTGAGAGAGTGGGTGAGAGAGTGGGTGAGGTGAGAAGGTGAGGTGAGAG